CACTCCAAAGAGAAAGGAAAACTTGAAATCGCATCATATGACCCCTTTAATGCATCCTTCATGCATTAATTCATTTTTTAAAATCATCATTTACTCACCGTCAAGTTGTTTCAAACCCGTATAGCATGATTTTTCTGATGATCAAAAGTGAAAATTGAAGAAAGTGCTGGTTGCTGTGTTCAATGGAGCATTTAAGCTTCAAAAGGAATTTAAAAGCACCATAAAAGAAAAGTAACAGTGGCTAGGAATCCCAAATCATTTACAGTAGTGTTTTTGTTAACCAGATCAACCAATTCATTAATAAATCAAACCCAAAAGGAAGTATGAATAGCATATTCTTCATTTATTATTATTTTTTTTTATGGATTTCAAACAGCATGACAGAATTGTAATTTTTGGTTGAACTATACCTTTTATTAGCAATATTTGCCTCAGTGAGGAATAAGCCTTTTATCTTAAAAGCAAGTAACCCTGCAGGCATAAAATCAACATATGTAGCCGCAACACCTGCATGAAGATAGTCATCTCTCTCTGCCAGCATCACACTTATGACCTATTTCTGTAACCAAAATCTGAAACCAGCTAGACAGACAACTTCTAAACATGTGTGTCAGGTACCGTGGATCTCAGCTCAACTGAATTCATTAAGTTCATATCTCACATAAAGTGGAAAGGCACTGAGATCGGTTCTGATGGTAGAGTTGATATGCTAAATGTATTTTCAGGACCCAGCTATACTTGTAGGGGAGTTGAGTTTCAACCAGTCATGTTTGCTGCTATCTGAAACTTGGACTTCCTGGAATGTGCAGACGAGAATAAAATGTGAACTGTAATATGGCAGGCAAACATTGCATCACCATCTTTAATGGCATATGCGTGACGGAACGAATAGTGGTATTTATGGTTTTATGCTGTGGCTGTAAAACACAATTTGACTGCATTATATAAACAGAAGCTACAGTTTGTATTTATTAAATTGTATTGAAAACAAAAATTAAATGTATTAAATATTATCTCTTTTATTTAATAAAGAATAATTCTATCTAGCTATCTTTGGCAAGTAATCATGCTTTTCACTTACATTTTCAGATACGAAAAATACTTATTTGTCATTAATACAGAATTATTGTACATAAACTAGAGTGTTATGCTATACTTTTGACCCATTTTTTATCTTTTATCTGCTTTCATTTAGAAATAGTTTTAATGATACCATAACTAATTCTTATATCTGTCTTCATTATTTTAGAAAAGAGGTTTTGGAAATCCCTCACAAAGCAGGTTTGTTTTTTCTTTAACTGAATATTTATCTACTTCTGAATTTAGAAAATCTGAATGATACTTTTTTTTTAAGGATCTAGACAAGATTCTGTCAGATACGCCACCTGTTTGGAAAGGATCATCCCGTCTGTTCCGAAACCTGCGGGAAAGAGGTGAGATCTAATAATCTTGTTATGTAAATCGATTGGTATTGTATAATGCAGTGTATAATGCTTTGTCATTTGATACAGTAAATGCCTCCAGGCAATTTGACTTTGAGAGGATCTGCTTTCAAACTGCTGCGTGTGTGGCTATCATTCTAAATACAGAGTTAATATACAGTAATTTGCAAATTATGGATGATGTGCTTACAATTAAAACAGATATTGTGATGTAGGTGCAATTAGGATACAGTTTTTAGCGTGCAGATGCTTAGGCCACCCACATACCCAGTGTTATGAAAGTCTGGATCCTGAAACTGGCCTCATGTGGCAGGAGAGTGCACAGGCTGTAAATACTCTCTTATCTCTCAATCAGTCTGACATTACTGTGACTTTGCTCTGGGATGATCACAGATAGGAAGGTGACAAAAAAACAACAACCCAGTGCATAACATGTGGTATGTCGTTTTGAATAGAAAATAATCACACGCTCAGCCGAGGGGTGCGCCACGCTCACACAGTCATACTAATCCATAAATTACTCAGCTTTATATTACCCTGAGGTCTTACTTTCTAGACGTGCTTCAAGAAAAAGCAGTGTTTGCTTATCGTACTTGACATATCAGCAACAATAGACAAATTAAAAGGAAATTTATGGTATTGCAAGAATTCTAAAAATGGCATGGGCCACAATGTTTAGAAAGGAAGAAAGAACATTTAATTTAATTTAATTTAAATCTACCTTTCTTTATATATTTTTATATTATGTTATTTTTTTCAGGTCATTTAGACTTTTGTCACGAAGGTTTTTTTTTTTTTTTTTAAAGAATATTCATGTAGTTTATAATTAAACACAGAATAGTTAAAAATTACGAGAAAATTTTCAGCTTTTAACGAGGGGCTTTCCAAGGTGCTAACAGTACATTCCTTGTAATGTTCTTTCTTACACTACACATAGTGCATGATATCTCTGCTCACCGTTGCTCTCCTTGAGTGCCAGTGCCTGGATTTGGGCTTTTATTCCGGCTGTTAAATGTTAAAGCTGCACTTAGGTTAAAAAAAAAAAGAAGATAGGCTTGATCTGTGAACAAAGCCTTACTTCAGAAAATGAAAGGAGCTGTTTGAACTTTGCAGTGTTGAGACTTGTCCTAGTGGCAGCCCTGTATCACTCTGGACAGTATGAATTCTGAGAATGGAGTTGGATTACATCTCCATCACTGACACTCTATTTGAATTGTTTCTGTGGAATTCTTTGTGTTCTGACAACTGTTTGAGCTCTTGGGCTGGGTTTCTTTCTGCAAGACTGAAGGTGTGTGGCTCTAATGAAACCTGTCTGGGATCCTAAAAGACTAAATGCACAGGCAGTCGTTGATCTCTTAACTAAGTTTTGAATAGTGTGGGTATACATAGGGCACTCAGTTTATCACAAATAATCGCATAAATGAATATTTGCTGATTAAAGCATGTAAATTAAGATAATAAAAAGACTTATAGCAGATGAAGCATTGAATAGATATTACAAAAAGTTGTACTTCAGGCCTAAATTGCTTTGATGGCATTGACTCATGAATCATTTTTAAATGCATTAAAAAAAATCTAATCTAAAAGTACTGAATTTAATATATATAAATGAATTTAAATTGAAATGTACATAACGTGATTTTTATTAAATTCAATGTAAAATATGTAATAAATTAACACATTAAAGTCACACGAATATATATGTATGTTTATGCTTGTATATATGTGACCCTGGAGCACAAAACCAGTCTTAAGTCGCTGGAGTATATTTAAAGCAATAGCCAAAAAAACATTGTATGGGTCAAAATTATTCATTTTTCTTTTATGCCAAAAATCATTAGGATATTAAGTAAAGATCATGTTCCATGAAGATATTTAGTAAATTTCTTACCGTAAATATATCAAAACGTAATTTTTTATTAGTAATATGCATTGCTAAGAACTTAATTTGGACAACTTTAAAGGCGATTTTCTCAATATTTAGATTTTTCTGCACCCTCAGATTCCAGATTTTCAAATAGTTGTATCTCGACCAAATATTGTCCTATCCCAATAAACCATACATCACTGGAAAGCTTATTTATTCAGCTTTCAGATAATGTATAAATCTCAATTTCAAAAAAATTGACCCTTATGACTGGTTTTGTGGTCCAGGGTCACATACAGTATGTTACATGTTTATATATATTACAGTAATATTACAGTTTTTACTGTCTTTTTGATCAAATTAAGTAAAATGTAAAATCAAACTTTTTTCTATTTGAATATATTTTAAAATGTGATCCTTGATCCTTCAGAAGTCATTCTAATATGCTGATTTAGTGCTCAAGAAACAATTACCGTTTTTTTATCAATGTTGAAATAATTGTTGCATAATACATTTTAAATGAAATTATAACTAAATGAATTAATATGTTGTTTTTATTTAATTAATTATATTAAATTAACACCTTAAATTCACAGCATTAGTTATATACAAATACAAAATAGTGGTGAATTCACGAACATATACATCAGGATCAAGGTGGCCTAGAATGTGAAAATGTATCTTCTCTATTCTGTTCTCCGCTTCCTTAAACATTCCAAAGTCCTTTTCCCACAGCACTCAAAGAAGCCCTCCTGAACTATCTGTGTCCAAGTCACTATCATCTCCTTCAAACAAAAGCTTGGGAATGCTTTCAGTGGCAGGAACAATTCTCCTTAAGTCTCTCCTAGACAGAGACCTGACAGTTGCTCTTCCTTTCTTCTCCTCTCACACAACAAAGGACTAACAGACCTCAAAAAGGAAAACAAACCCACATCAGACATCTGCAATCAGTTACAGATCACTTGAGAATGTTTTACACCTAGGAAAATAAACAGAGGGGAACTCAGGGGCCATTGGCCTGCTCTAATTTTGTTTGGGTTTGTGTCCAGCCTGGTTACTTTACGTTTTAAAGTCTCTGTTTGTGCAAAGAGGACACCAAACAAGAGAAAAGAACGGGATCCTCTTAGATCTTATCAGTGTAAAAGAAGAAAGGATCTCTAGTTTAAAATGACATTTGATAGTAAAATTTAGTTTGAAGGCAGGTTCTGGGATGTTGGAAAACAAGCTTTGTTTGAACTCTTGAAAGGAAATGTTTATGTGCTTTTTTTCAGGTGCCATCGCTTACACAGAGTATCTGTTTCTACTTTGCATTTTGACAAGTAAGTGTGTCTTTAGGTTAAATCCACGCTTGTTTAGCACAAACAATGGTCACGAGAAATATAGCCTCATGAAGATGTGTTATATGTCTTTCTTTTGTCTTCTAGAGCCGCATGCAGGTTTTAAAATAGCTTTCAACATGTTTGATGCAGATGGCAATGAAATGGTGGATAAGAGGGAATTCATGGTGGTACGGTTGGTTTTGTTGTTGTTTATTATTAATATGAGTGTCAGAATGCTTAAAGATAAATTTCTACTTTTTTCATTTAGCTGGAAGAGATATTCCGTAAGAAAAATGAAAAGAAAAAAGAGCGGGGAGGAGATCCTGACAGTTACTCTCAACTGGTAAGAAATACATTTCTGCTTTCCTACCAAAAGCATTTTACAGTCCTCTGTTGCATGAGCATATTCTTTTGCCATATCTTGATTCGATGTGTAGGTATTTGAAAGTAATCTAAGGAAATAGTTCATCCAGAAAAAGACAATTCTGTCATGATTTCTCACGCTCATGTCATTCCAAACCCTTAGTTCTTTCTTATCTGAGTAACACCAAAGGAGAAGTTTTGAAGAATGTTCACACTGCTCCCTTCCATTCAGTAAAATGAATAGTTCTCCATAAAAGCAGTCCATACGTTTCATGCATTAAACTTCAAGATTTCTAAACCTATTTGATTGCTTAACTTGGCAAGACTTTAGCTTGCTTATTTGGGGTTTAAAAGACTTGCTCTTTAGTAATGTCATCGATTTGATGGCACTGACTCTCAGATGAGAACAAAACTAGAGCTAAAAAATGACAATATTGTCTTCTTTAGAGCTGCTTTATAGCTAAATCAAATTGTTTGATGGACTTTGCAACATCGGCACTGTTATTGAACTGAATTGAATACACTGAACTGACTAAACATGACATACTGTCCACAGTAGAGCTACTCATTACAGAATTGAACTTATTTTCTAACAAATTTTGTATTTGTCATATTTAATGAAGTTTGCATTGCTGAATCTCTTCCTTCAATGTTAAGCTGCACTGTTAATCTTTGTTGTATGAAGCGCTATATAATTAGATAACTTGACTTGAGGAAGAGACTGAAATTGCTTGGCAGCCATGGTCACCATTCACTTTCATTGCATGGAAAAGATTGCTATAAATTGCTTAATTATATTTGTTATTATATATTTTTTTAGATTGAATAATTTACTGCAGATTATTTTTTTCATGTGCCTAGTAAAGTAACACATTACTTTTTAATTTGCAAGAAAATATTGACTTACTTTTTCAAATAAGTAACAAAAGTTACTTTATTTTCCCATTTATTGACTGACAGCTCTCCTGTCCAATGTTGAGAGAAATCGGGAGTGCAGAGGCATTGTGTGTGTTGTGTCAACATGAGGCTTACTGTAGTTCTAGACTAAATGTGAATATGCATTTACTCATCTCACCTTCACAAAAAACAGATTCAGTATTCCTCAACATGTATAAAAACAGTAAAATGCACTCGGAATATGACGCACACCTACAATAATGAAGTATGTTAAATAATACAAATATCCTTTATGTATTTAATCCCATTTTATTAAACAATGTCTTTGCTGCTGACATTTGATGATCCAGTTCAATCATACTAATAAGCAAAAAATACTTTTTTTTTAGTAAGGTTTGTTTGAGCTGCGCCCTCTACTGTACAGATGTGAATTTCCATCTCCTTCAGCCTGAGGCTTATTCATTTCACTTTTGGTGTGAAAGCGCTTTTACATTGGCCAAAAGCAGAACTTTTTATATGAAAAACAATCAAGTAAGCCCAGCCCAGAAGTAATGCAAAAGTAACGCAATGCATTGCATTCCATAAAAAGTAACTAAGTAATGCAATTAGTAGTGCTGTCAAACGATTAATCGTGATTAATCACATCCAAAATAAAAGATTTTGTTTACATAATATATGTGTGTATACTGTGTATATTTATTATGTATATTTAAATACAAACACATGCATGTATATATTTAAGAAAAATATGTTATGTTTATATATTAAATATATTTATATATAATATAAAATATAAGAATATAAATATATAAATGTATATACATGTAAATATTTTCAATATATATACTGTATGTGTGTGTTTTTATATATACATAA